GGGGCGACAAAACACAAACATAGAAAAAAGCGGAGCACAATTAAGTTTGTGTACTTGTGGTGACATCCTATCAAAGTGACCCGGGTGATATTATAACAAAAAGGGCGGTAAAAAGAGGAGTACAAGTATTCGCAGAGCATACAACATACGTGAGCAATTATCAAACAAACATGAAGAAGCGACCAAAAATAGTAGAGAAGTGTAGCGCGGTAAGAAAAAGGTAAACCACGAAGAAAGACAGACGAGAACATGCCAAAGTCCTCCCCTCCAATTCCTCCTAATGAGCTTGGAGCTCAGAGAGCCCCCGCAGAGTGGTCGTACACAGCCCTCAGAGGCTGCCCGTGTTGATTACGGCCATTTCAGTGGCGGCCAATGGCATTTTCATCAGGAGGAGCCGCCTTATTACGGAGTCTCCCGGCACGAGGAGCCACCTGACGCGGACAACACTGGGCAACATGAAAGCGATTTTAGAATCTTCTCTCCTCCTCCTCCTCTCGTCTCTTCTTCCCCCTCCTCCCCACCTTTTTAAGTAATTTGTTCTTCTCTTTTCTCACCTGATCATTGTGAAACACTTCGATATGATATACAAAGACACTTGGATGAACGCTGCAGTCCTGGCCTCTGATGTGTTTGATGGTATTGAGCGGGGTGAAGAAACAGTAATGGTTGCATTGGACATAGAAGACGAGATACTGATGAGGACGCTAGTCAACATGAGAATCACACCAGCTTTGATTATCAGGATTGGAGAAGCGATGTTGAAGAGGAGGGTGACCATGAGGCTTGGCTCGTGGGCATCAAACGTTTGCACGATCACACCTGGCTTACCTCAAGGCTCTGCCCTATCACCTGTTTTGTTCAACGTGTATACAATAGGAATCACTTCTAACCAATTGGAAGGCCCTGCAGGACACTAAGCTTTGCGGATTACGGTTTCGCATGTCGCACAGGGACAGACAGGCAGACAGGTGATCGCCAGCAGTATACAGAAAGAGCTTGATAGCATTGGTGCATGGTGTGAAGCAAATAAAGGCAAAATCCGTCCTGGAAAAGCGACAGTACTTTGGTGCTCCCTCAACAATCGAGCGGTGAAAGCCCAGGTGCCAGATGTCTACATCAAAGGCCAGACAATCAAAAGACAAGACACGCTGCTCTACCCCGGAATAGTGTTTTGACAGGACAATGAGTGGAAAGGAGCACATAAATCATTATAAAGGCCAGAAAAGGTCTGAAAGCAGAGAAGGTGATGGCGAGAGACAAGATGACGCAAAGAAATTTGGTCTTGCTCTTTGACATGCTTGTGCACAAGCATTTTGCAATTACACCTACTTATATGGAAAAGTACGGTGAGATGTATGTATCACCAGCTCCCCTCTCTCTCTCTCTCTCTC